GAGGGAGTTTTTCTTTTGCTTTTCAAGGAGAGGAGCAAACGGGGGGTGAGAGGGGGGGGGGCGGGGAGAAGGGTGCAACAATGAATGAATGAGAACCCAAAATCTCTGTAAATGTTCATTAAAACTAATAAAATTTAATAATTAAAAAATATAGGCAATACCAACAAATAAATTCATATTTGAAAACTGACAGTAAAGAAAATAGAAAGTATAAAACATCTTTGCTTTGGAAAAAACCCTTAAAAACAAACAAACAAAAAAACTAAACAGAAAATGCCTACTAAGGGCTGAGCCTAGATGTTAGAGGTTCTCTAGACTAATGTTCCACAACCTTACTTATGATTATGCTTTCAGAGGGAGTGCTCAGCTGCTATTAGACCATACAGTGTATGCACTGGAATACTGTTGTTCCAGTTTTGTTAAGTAATAATAAAGAGAAATTGAAAAGAGAAGTGGCAGGAAAATCATATCCCCTCTAGTTCTGCTTTTTCTTAAGCATAGTTTCTCCAACATAGGTCATAAGAGCAGTTCCTTTGCTGGGTGTATTAGTAAGATGATGAGGGTGATCCATGAGTCAATTCTAGGTATGTTATCAGTAACATGTTAAAAAAGGAAAATTTTAGATGCTAATCCTAACAAGGAGACCCTGAAAGGTCGTGTCCCGCTTAGGGCCTTGGGAGATTTAATGTCAGCTGAATATGACGCACGGCAGGTTTGAGGGCTCAGGGTAATTTTGGTGTTCTTTGGGCCCCACGTGGGGGACAGCAGAGCGGACATGCCAGATGAACTGGGGGGTCTGGTGGAAGAACTGTGCCAGCATTCGGGCGTGCAGGGTTGGTGAGACCCTGAAAGGTCGTGTCCCATCTAGGGTATTGCGAGATTTAATGTCAGCTGAATCTGTACTCTGGTGTGTGTCAAATGCATTAATGGCTGGTTACCCAGTGTGGACAGAGAGTGGGGTGGAGCCCCCCGATTAAAACAAGCTTGGAAGGAGGAGCGGTATCCACTTCTGTAATAGCTTGCCTCTGGAAACCCTATGAACCTGGAGAGAGGATGAGAGACACCTAAGTGTTGAGGACTCTCCTTTATAGGGTCGCTATGAGTCACCTGTGACTCAACGGCACTTAACAACAAACAACAACAATCCTAACACAATTTAGATTATTTAAATTATTAAATAATTTAGATTAATTAAATTATTTCAATTTAGATTATTTAATTCACCAGAATGTCAAAAGTGTAGCATTAAGGACACTGAGTTGTTGTTGTTTGTTCTGTTTGTTGTTGTTGTTGTTATGTGCCATTGAGTTCCGTGCAATTCATAGTGACCCTATGTAGTGTTTCTGACACACCTACCCCCATTACCCTAGTCACTGAATCAATCCATCTCATCAAGGGTCTTCCTCTTCTGCATTCCTCCACCCACCCTTCCAAGCATGATATTGTTCTCTGAGGACTGGCCCCGCCTTGCAACATGTCCAAAGTGTGTCTGTCAGACAGAACTTCAGAATCCTTGCCTCCAAGGAGCAGCCTGGTCTCACCCTCTCTAGGACAATAATGAATATTGGTGTTAAAACTTTTGCTCTATCCAAGATTCACACGTTTCTGTGTAAAAGGCTAAAGTGACTCAATTTCCATGAACATGGGCAGTGCTACCAAATTAATTGGGGTAATCAAAAGATGATTGCAGTTTTCCGTTAGTGATGCTTTTTAATGTACCTGTAGCAAACAAGAGCTCTAATTATTAATAGGTTCTATTTTGAACAAAATAGATTTCAAAGTGTACAATCTAGCACATACTACAAATCACAAGTTCTTAATTTTTTATTGAACATTAGGAGTCTCTAAAGAAAACTAGAGTCACATCAATTAGAAAAGCACATGCCCACACTGTTAAGTCTGTGATGTCAAGAAGTATATATTTCCCTTCAGCTCTGCCCCAAGTGTCTGGTCAGGAAACAAATCTATCATCCCCACTAGTCTAAAATGCATCTACAGAATGAAGTGAGGTGTGTGTTGCAAGGACTTACTTTCTCAGGTCTAATTTGTCTCAAGGGAGTTTGGGTGGTACAGTTCATAGGGATGGGAAGGGGACCGTCTGTCTGGCAGTTGCAACCCAGCAGAGACCCACAGAAGAAATATGGACAATCTTCTCCCATGTGATTCACAGCTTCCAAAAACCCACTAGGAGAGTTAGGTCTGACTCAACAGCAACGAGTTGTGTTGAATTTAACTTTAGATGAATAATAAAATAAGTCATTAAGATAGGGTTATAAAAAATCCAAAACTACTGAACATCAGGAAATTAACATTTCTTTGTGTCTTAATGAGGAGAAGGAGAGAGAATTGATTTGCCTTCCCCATGGCACTGGAATGTAGGATCACTAGCTTCTTCAACACGAAGGGCCACTCTCAGGACAGAGAGGTGTATCCTGCAACCTAAGGAGGAGAGCACCTGGACCCCACCATCAAAGATTTCTGGGTCCCAAGTTCCCCACCCAGAGGTGTAAGGGTACCTGAAGCCACCCCTCTCTCCTTGGGCTTCAGGACAGATATGCATTCACAGCAACTCAGGGAGGGGAGCACAGGGCCTCCACTTCCAAAGACTTCTTTGCCTGGCCCCATCTGAACATACGTGAACCCACCAAACCTGACCAAAAGGTGAGGTCCCGTCTCTGTGCACCCCTCAGATACAAACAGATGAGAAATTTGCCACCTGAAAAGGGTGTTAGACATACTCATAGTTAGACAAACAATGAGGGGGGAAAATGCTGTTGGGAAACTTAATCAGGCAAATTCAAGCCTCAAGTTGCAATACTTAGGGATGCCATGGGCAAAATCTTGAATGATCTAGGAAACATCAAAAGAAGAGAGAAGGAAAACACAGAATCACTGTACTAAAAAGAATTGGTTGGCACCCAAATTTCAGGAGGTATCATATGATCAAGAGCCAAAGAGAATGAAGGAAGAGATTCAAGCTGTCCTGAAGGCATTGACCAAAAATAAGGCCACAAGAATCAGTGGGATACCAAATGACAGACGTAGCCCTGGATGTGCTCACAAGTCTATGCCAGTCAAATCTGGAGGACAGCAGTCTCCCCAGCTGGCCAAAAGATTTCCAAATTTGTTCCCATTCCCAAGAAGAGCAATATAAGAGAATGTGAAAATTATCAAACAATGTCATTAATATCACAAACACGCAAAATACTGTTGAAGACCAAAGACATCTAAAACACTACATAGTTAACTGACAGAGGTTCAAGCTGGATTTAGAAGAAGCCATTGCACTAGGGTTATCATTGCTACTGTCAGATGGATACTGCATGAAAGCAAAGAATACTAGAAGAATGTATATTCGTGCTTTATTGACTTTACAAATGCATGTGGCTACCTTTGGGAAGAATGGGAATCCAAGAACACTGTATGGTGTAATATTAGGACACATATGTGTCAGGGTTATATTCTTTCCTCATACCTATTTAATGTGTTTGCTGAGCAAATTCCTCAAGAACCTGGATTCTGTGAAGACAAAGTGGCGTTAGAAGGGAGACTCATCAATAACCTGCATTTATACAGGTGATACAATCTTGTTTGCTGAAAATGAGGAAGACTTGAAGAGTTTGGTACAGAAGGTGAAAAACCTGCAGCCTTTAATATTGATTGCATCTCAGCACCAGGAAAAGAAAAATCTCACCACTCCAATGATAGGCAACATCATGGTGGACAGAGAAAGGACTGAGACTGCCAATAACTTCATCATACTTGTACACATAATTAGTATACTTAGTATTGTTGTTGTTATGTGCCGTCAAGTCACTTGCGACTCATAGTGACCCTATGTACAAAAGCCCTAAACTCTGCTCTGTCCTGTGCCAATCGCACCATCTCTGATACACCCATCCCCATGACCCCAGTCACTGAATCAATCCACCTCATAGGGGGCCTTCCCCTCTGTGCTGTCCCTGTACCCTACCAAGCATGATGTCCCTCTCCAAGGACCTGTCCCTCCTTACATGTCCAAAGTGTGTCAGACGGAGTCTCAGAATCCTTGCCTCCAAGGAGCAGCCCAGTTTGACCCTTTCCAGGATGAATCTGTTTGTTTTCCCAGCAGTCCGTGGTACCTTCAATACTCTTCTCCAGCACC